CCTCAGATAAGAGAAACATGCATGATTCAAGAATTGCCGAAGATACCTGCAGTTTCTAATTTGGTACCAGAATGAGAAATCCATGAGACACGTTGATGGTAAGCAACTCTATCTAAGGTTTTTTGGAACCTTTCTATCCTCAAAACCACTAGGTAAATCTACCTGGTACTCTAATTCCTTGCAACTCAAAGTGTGGCCCGTGGTCTAGACACATCTGCATCCACTGAGAGGCATTGGTCAAGCTCACAATTTCTGAGTCAGTTTGGAACATAAAGCTACACTTATACAATCCATAAGCCCTACTTTTAAATCTTCCCTTCTTCAAGTCATCCAGGTGCTTTTCAATTAAGAAAAAAATCACATGTAATAATCCTTTTCAACGATTAATCAAAGAACTTATATGCATATATACATAACCCATGGTCACAGACAATAGTGGGGTGAAGGCCTCAGATGGGGGGTTGGAGTGCGGTGGAAAGGGTCAATGGGGGGGAATACCTTCAATAATAAAGATAAAATAAATTTAAAAATAAATTAAAACCAAATAAATAAATGTTTTAAAAAAATCCTTTTCAGGAACACTTCCATTGTCCCAAGAGAGGGAATATAAAGCTCCATATGAATAAGTGTTAAAAAACACATATTTGGTTTAGTGTGTTAGGAAGGAATTCGGGGTTGATTTATGTCAAGTGAAGAATAGTAAGTTACCGACACCTTCACACAGGAATAAGATAATGCAAGTGAGCTTTATGAAACTCACCAAACACTGACCCCTCAGGCCCTCTCGGTTCTATAAGGCACCTCTGATGCTCTGAGTTCTCTGAGTAGCCAGCTGCGAGGTGAAGATACCCAGGCTGCTTGCGCATGCGTGTGTCCCTGGGGTCATGGGCTTCACTGAAGGCTGCTCAAGCAAGGCTGAGTGTGGATGGAATTCTACTTTACCTGAAAGTCCTGAAAGCCTTCATATTCCCAAAGTAATCACAAAACATAGCACAGGAATGATTGCCTTATGACACCACACTCTCAACACCTACAAATCAGAAGAAGGCCCTGTTCTTCTCCTTGGCTAAGTGGTTACATGTCCACACGATCAGAGAAATTACCAAAAGGAAGTCTCACATGGACCAACATTCAGATTAACAGTGGCATTTGCTCACTGTTGAGTCCATGCTGGCTCAACAAGAAGTACAAATGATTTCAAGACATCTTTATATCCTCACCGGAAGAATATTTTAAAAAGAAAAACAACTAAAAACAATGGCAACAACAAAAAACTTCAATTGGAAGAATTCTTTAGCTGGGACACTGGGTTCTACAATCCCACCATTATCTGTTCTTGTGCAGAGCCAGAAAAAATACTGTCACCAATTTAAGAGAATAACAGTCTTTGTTTCATAATGAATTTGTGCCAAAATAGTAAATATGCTATTGTCCTTTGTTTTTGTTCAGTGAAAGTGGGATATAAAGTCTAGACATGGCAGAAGTGAGGACATGCACAGGAATACCTAACGGGTGGTTTTAGTCTCAGTGGGATACAAATTATTTTTTAAGAACTCCAAGTACAGCCCGGGCTCTCGGGCAAAATAATTCTGATTCCTGACATCGACTGTGGAAGCATCTAAAGCAGTGGTTCTCAACCTTCTGGCCCTTTAAATACAGTTCCTCATGTTGTGACCCAACCATAAAATTATTTTCATTGCTACTTCATAACTGTAATGTTGCTACTGTTATGAATCGTAATGTAAATATCTGATATGCAGGATGGTCTTAGGCGACCCCTGTGAAAGGGTCGTTTGACCGCCAAAGGGGTCGCGACCCACAGGTTGAGAATTGCTGCTCTAAAGGAAAAAGCACACTGGCTTTCATGCTATTGCTTATAATCAGCTATATAGATCAAAATGCCTATTCCTAAAAGACAATAAAGATCTTGCCCCCATGCCCAGCACAGAATGGTCACTCTATAAACATGTGGTTCATTTCTCTTTTTATTCCTGTTTACCTCAATCCAGCAAAAGTATTTTCCCCAAAAAGAGATGCAACAATGTTCAAAAATACTATTTCAAGGGCCAGGATAAATAAACTTCGCAGAAAATTTCAGATGTAGGCTTTTGTTTCCAGAGTTATGGTGGTGCCAAGAGATGACTTATGGGACTTTAGTCCCATAATCTTCATCAGTCCCCAGAATGCCATCAAAATAAATAAACTCTCAAAATAGAGGGAGTCCTATTCCTGTTCACATCTAATTTCAAGGTAAGTCCCCTTCCAGCCAGACTGAAACTCTAACGCTGCTGTCATGTTGCTATCTGGGTGCTGCAGCTGTCCAAAATCCTCCCGTAATCAAAGTGCCATTTATTGTTCCTTATATATTAGAGGAAGCCAAGTCCAGTAGGAAGGCTAAACCTGAGTTTACATGCGAGCTTCAGCTTCTTTACTCATTAATGGGAGTCCTTATTAAAAATGCTAAACCTGAATCTGAAACACTAAACCTGATCGCCCTCATGTAAGTCACTGAGATGGCTCAGAGAACCTGGGGATGCCGATCTCTCTAGGCTGATATCAGGACTAAGAAAAACAATATCCGTGCAACACCTGGCTGATCTTAGCGCCGCTCGAGCACCCAGCAAATAGCGCCCTGCACCGTCCTTCCTTTTTCTTTTCACCGATTCAAAATCACTGACATTAGGAGGTCTCCCTCTGTTAAAGTAGAAAAAGAAAAAATTGGCTGAATTACAAAATCAGAGCTATAATAGCTACTGGGCTGTATTTCGAGGAGGGCTCATACATCCTTGAGCAAAGGGCTTTGCTATTCTACAAGAGATTAGGGGGAATTCGGCATCCTGCACAGAGATCACAGAGTTCTAGGAATGTGTGCCCCCCTCTTGCCATCTCAGTGGTGCAGCTGTGTGCAGAGAGTAAACACCTCTGCTGAGCTCGCCTTTCTTTATGCTGCACCCCAGCTGAAGAGCTTCTCAGGGAAGAATAATGTTCCCTACTCTGAGTTGCTATAACAACATAGTTGCCAAAATAGCAGGCACACGGCAGGAGTCGAATAGCTTCTCAGAGAGATTGTGCGACTCCTGCTCCTGGCACACCCTCTGTGGCCTGTTAAGGGTCCTGGCTGAGGCAGCCCGGGGCCATCAGAGTCACATACCAGTTAAGGAGATGGAGAGGGGTTTTGGAAATCGTTGGGCTTCCCACATACATAGAATTCCACTGGCCTGTGCTGCAGATCTTCTGAAAAGTCCTCTCGCTAATGAGGCGGCAAGTGATGCCTTGATACAATTGGCAGAACTATGTTGTATCTATTTCATGAACTTGAGTTTTTTCCTAAATAATGAGTAGTTCACAGCAGTAAAAAAGAATAGTGTCTGGTTCTTAAAAAGTATTAAGCATGTCACCTGGGAGAAAGTAGAACTAAACTTCAGATTGAAAGAGAATATACAAATGGACAATGGTCAGACCATGGATGACAACAGAACTCTGACCCCATCCTCTAGAGCAGTGGTTCTCAACCTTCTGGCCCTTTAAATACAGTTCCTCATGTTGTGACCCAACCATAAAATTATTTTCGTTGCTACTTCATAACTGTAATGTTGCTACTGTTATGAATCGTAATGTAAATATCTGATAGGCAGGATGGTCTCAGGCGACCCCTGTGAAAGGGTCGCTCAACCGCCAAAGGGGTCGCAACCCACAGGTTGAGAACCATTGCTCTAGAGTCCAGGGAGCCAGAACAGAAGCTTGGCAGCAACTGGCCCATGATGGGCAGGACTTGATTAATACTTCTCTATTTTTTTGTCCCTGCGTCCAACTCAGGACCAACCACAGGGAGCTGTATATGCCCCCCCAACCAATCACAGGAAGTGTTCTGTTTTTAAATAGCCTACCTCTAGCTTCTGCAGGCCAACAATCACCAATCAGAGCTTACGTAAAGATTTCTCTTTTTTTAACTGAAAACCTTTCCCATGCCTTGACTACTTATGAGTCTCCACCAAAGGCAAGTGATGGAGGCTGGCTCCCTTGCTATTGCAAACTGAGTAAAACAGCTTCATTTGGGTGGTTTTTGCTTATTTCCATAAGTGTTGTTTTTGTTATATCTAGTGTACGAACAAGATCATATTTTATGATTTGCAATGTTCAGGACTGAGGCCTCTGGGTAACCCTAAAATCTATCTAAAATATGCCCTCAGCAAACTTCCAGACTCACCAAACCCATCACCAACCCCTTCTCCTTCCTCCCTTCCCCTTCCACCTCCTGGCTCCACCCATAACAAAGAATGACTTACAGTCAGAGTGGCCAACCGTCCCAGTTTGCCCAGAACTGTCCCACTTTTAGCCCGGAAAGCCCTACAAGCCAGAAAGACCCCAGCCCTGGACCCCTCAGCATGCCATGCTGTTGTTCGACTCGGCCTCTGCAGATGAAATTCTCTCTGCCAGGATTCTTCTCTCTCCCCACTGCCAAGTTGTCAACCTGGCGGACTCTTCTCAACCCGCCAAGACCCTGACTAGATGCCCAACCCTAGAGTTAACTTCTTTGACAACAGCCCACCTCCTAGCCCCAAGCAGATGATCACTCCCTCCTCGATGCCTGCCATGCTACAGCCTGTATCTATTTCTGTACATATCGCCTGGTATAGGGAAGATTTGATAATGGCGAGGAGACCCTCTTACACGGTACATCCCCTGCAGGCAGGTGCTGTATTGTCTTCATCTTTGTGTTCCCCTCACTGCCTTCACCACACCAAGTCCATGCTTGTCTGTTTCATGAGTAAATGAATTTGTGGGTGCTTAAATGGTTTACCTATTTATTTATTTAATAGAATTGTTTATTATTGGATTACTGAATATTAACAAATTAATTATTTATCAATGAATTAAATTGATCTTTACAAAAAAAATGGTCCAAAAGTCCTAGGTTGAGCTGAAATGACAGTACATATATACCGGTGCCTTAGCATAACTGTACTCATTAATCCATTTCAATTATTCAGGCTGTTTACCTCAATCTGGGTGGCGTTGTCCTGCCCATCATCCAGCAGCAGGTCTGTGAAGCCTCGGGGCTCTGGGGAGTCTTGGCCCACGCTCGCTCGGTTTGTGTCCACAGCCTTGAGGGGATCTGTGTTCCTTTTCCACCTGTGGCTGAATGTATGTGTGTCTACTTCTATCTCCTCTTCTGCTTGCGGGAAGGCCTGAGCAACTTGGTGCTGCCAATCTGTTTGAAAGTAAATAAAACAACGAATTACTTACTTGCTATGAATCATACACATGTTATCAACTTCAGTAGGAAAAATATCTGCTAGTCATGAAAATAGAGAACTAGTTCATACCAGTGAAACCTGTTTAATGGTATATTTTGAGTTGGTATGCACGTCTCTGAGTAGAATGCAATTTTAGGACACATCATAAGTCGTGACAGTGGTTAATGTGAAGACCCAGCAGAGTCTCTAAAACAGATGTGCAGCCCTAAAGCAATGCATTTTTATTCCCTCCCCTCCCCACCTTCCACAACACACTCCATAAATATTCCCCGGTTGTTCTGAGAAAACAAGCTACAATCTAGACAAAAGAATGAAAACCAAGTGATTCTCAGTCCATTTGAATATAGAAGTCAGACATTATTAACTTGTGAACTAATATCCATTTCACATGAGTTATGTTGAACAGCAGAGGGGCAATAATGTGTTTGAACGGTTTAAATACTACACGGAATGATCTTCGTGTAAATGTGCTACCTGCTTTGTAGCTCACAAGTCAGACTTGGCTCACTGCCTAACTCATTTAATAAGCAACACTCTCAGGAGGCATCGCAAATGCTCTTGTTCACTTGTGCTGTTCTTGCCTTAGAAACTTGCTGGGGTGGTAAAGAATGACAGTGATAGGCACTTAGAGAAATGAAATGGAAGGCAAGGGGATCAAATCACAAAGGTATTTTAAAGCTATCTGCAGGGACTGTCCTTGCTGACCCAGCTCATCCTGCCACTACAGGAGGGAAAATTAGATTTAATCATTAGTCCTAGTCTTTCATTTCTGTGCGTCAGCAGGGGAAGGTATACCACAAGTCTGAGAAATTCAGTTTCTGACTAGGAAGAACAGTCCTCTTCTACACAACGATTACCAAAAGATATGAAATGACAGCCTTTATAACTGGCAGGATATGGCTTCAAAAAGAGCTTAAGAGAGCAGTGATTTAATCATAGCTGTGAGGTTCCTCTCAATACAAGAACATTCCAAGAAACCAAAATGTGTTTAATGTGGCTTATGATACCATTGACTCAGTTACTCAGAACTCTAATAACTAAGGTAAGGCTACCACTACTCATCACAGGAAAATAGTCTAAAATATCTCCCTTTCAACTCAAAAAAAGGTGATAATTCTTCTTGACAGAGAGACTATTCTTTGGTTTCATCATGAACTTAAAAGATCTCCTACTGCCTGATGCTTTAGTGGATACAGCTTAGAGAGAAACACTACCACAGGGTCGGCAATCTAGACTTTTCTATGGGCTCATAGAATGATAGGATTTAAAAGAACCATGGAGAATGAAAAGGACCAAGAACTCCAGAAATGCCACAAAAATGTAGCACTATGTTCAATTCATAGAACTGATGTAAGACTGCAAAAAGCTCATGTACGAAAAGGGTTGATTATGGTCCCCTCCCACCCTCCACTACAAGAAATGTTTCCTTTTTTTTTAATGCTCGCTTGAGGATATGATTTTATTGATTTTAGAGAGAAAGGAAGGGGGGGGAGAAAAACATAGATATGAGAGAGAAACATCCATTGGTTGCCTCCAGTATGCGCCCTTATGGGGGACAGAATTTGCAGCAAGCTAGGTATGTACTCTGATCAGGAATTGAAACCTCAACCCTTTGGTGCATAGGACAACACTCCAGCCAACTGAGCCACCTAACCAGGGAGGGAAATGTTTGTTTTTTAACACTGTTGTTCCCACTAGCCATTGGACAGTGCTCAGTAAATTTTTGTTGAATGAGTGAATAGGCCGATGAATTGTTGATAGTCTCTTTGGAGCAAGAATGACAGGACTAGACAGAATTGTGTAATAAAAGAAATACTGTATAAAGATTCAGGAGACTTTGAGTGGAAATTTTAGTGTTAGGTTTGCTGGATATGGGGTTGAGAATAGTTCACAAAACTCCCTGTGCTTTAGTTACCCTATATTTTAAATGGGAATGACACTATTTTACCTGAAGTAGACAGCTTTTCCTGAGGATGTGTAAGACCTATGATTCTAGGCAAAGATACAGAGAGCAGTTTTATTTGCTTCATTTATATATCCTGCCTCATTACTAAAATTATATGAGGCAACTTACAACAAAGGTAAGCAATAAGTTTTACAACAACCAAATCAGGACCTCCTAGCACCAGGCTTAGGTTAACCTTAGGGCTGTGCATTTGCCTTGCACTAGGGGGGTGGGCATCTGAATGCAAACAGTCCTGGAGGAACAACTGAAAATCTACACAGGGTCCTGGCTCAATGGTCAACCTAGATAAGCAATGTGGCAAATGCAATGCAGTTAATGGAGTCAACAGTCCTAGATACAAAGAAATATTTTTTAAAATCACACAAAAGGAATGGGTCCAACCAGAGGTGTTTTTTTTTTCCTTCCAGTATAATGTAAATTAGGGAAAATATACCAAAAACTTCAAAGACTTAGATTTTATTAAAATCTTCAAAACAGACTTTCAAAACAACTCTGGGTTTCTTTTAAATTAGTATTATTGCTGGATATTAATTAACTGGTATTGATTTTACCACTATCTTTTCAGATGTCTATAGCACAAGATAAAATATAGTATTTTCCATGATGCCTGTCATGCCGGTCAGTCACACCAGCTCCTGCGGCTCTGGCCCAGGGCAGGCAGTAGGTGAAATAATCAGCACGGGAGGGGCTGTGTGCATAGGAATCCATTTCCCAACTTCCCTGAGCCCCCTTTCTCTTTCTCTCCCTGTTTTCCTACCCAAGAAAAGAAATAAAAGGGCGCTTCAAATCTCAGGAACAATAAAGTTCATATTCCCCGCTGTTAAGTTAATTAAACAAGGAGGCCATTAGAATGAGGTGGTACTAATACCTTAGCAGCCTACATAGTAAGCAAACCCCAACCTAAGCCTGTAAATGCCTCAGAGTTAAGAAATCAAACCTGCCCTGATCGGTTTGGCTCAGTGGATAGAGTATTGGCCTGCGGACTCAGGGGTCCCAGGTTCGATTCCGGTCAAGGGCATGTACCTTGGTTGTGGGCACATCCCCAGTGGGGAGTGTGCAGGAGGCAGCTGATCGATGTTTCTCTCTCATCGATGTTTCTAACTCTCTATCCCTCTCCCTTCCTCTATGTAAAAAATCAATAAAATATATTTTTTTAAAAAAAGAAATCAAACCTAAGGGCCATCAGCCACAAACAGCCAACTCTGCTTTTCTGAATCCAGCAAATGCTGAAGCTGTAGCCAATCAAATGGTTTCCTTACTTTGCTTCCACCTTTTCTCCAGAAAAGTCTCTCCCCTAGCTCCTGTCCTTGGCATGCTCCTAACCCCTTCTGATTTGGTGCTGTCCCTTGGAACTGATTCTTGCTCAGGTGAACTTAAATTTTGTAATATGTCAAACATTATCTTTTAACACCGCTTACATTGAAGTTTGGGTTGTTTCATTAATGTGCCAAACTCCTGTTTTTGCAGTGACTATTCAAATTTTATTATTAAGATTACTGAGGAAGGGAAATTAACCAACAGGTAAGCCTCCCAGATGAAGCAAGAATCAGTGTTTACTCCAGCACTTACAAAGGTAAGTCTCCAGATATCTGTGCAGTTTTGGTGTTGTGTCTTTTTTAGTTTTTCAGCTGTGTTTTAAAATTTTTCTCTCTTGCTTTACCATCACATCAGCTAATACAATCATTGATTGGATTGTCTCCATCATGGATGGGCTTGCTCCTTCTAAAATTTGCTACCTTAAACTGGATAAACTGATAAAAATGGATCCCTTGCTGCCTCCAATTGTATTTACAAAGACTAAACATAATCTAAAGAAGGACCTGAGGGTTTTCTAATGAGAAAATTTTTAATTTTTAGAGCCTGGCCTCCATGAATTTTCCTTTGGTTGCTATTTTGGACATAACTCTCTTTCTCTGGTTATGTGATGAATAAGCAGACTGCCCAATCATGTACAGAGGGTGCATTCCTATATGTTCATTATTCAGTAGACTGAAGTATAAAATTGGCTTAGATTTTGGTCCCTTTTCAGAATCATTTTTAAAGAAGATAAGGCAAGTCAAAAATGGATGTTTTACAGAAATAAAGATGGAGAAAAACTGACAAAACCACAGCCTAGTTATCTACACTGTGAATTATTCCTATACACTTCACAAGTTTTCAAACTCATGAAAATATTTTAAATCACCACCAACACAAATCATTCAGAAGCAAGATGAACGATATATGTAATATAATCTTTCCCTTCCCAGCTGCAGTGAAAACAAAAGCAACAGGAGGGATCTTCGAATCATCTGTTTGAACAGATTGTATGCTTTCTGTCCACTGTATGTTAATTAAACTACCGCTGAAACCCTTCAAAGATAATGTTCTCCAATGTATTTTGCTGTAGTTGTTAATCATATAACTAAAAAAAACATTAAATATATCTAATGACTCCCATTTGAATATAAAGAGAGAAAACTTAAGGATGTATTTTTTGTATATAACATATAAGTTGATCTTAACACATTCTTGAAATATTTTACTTAATTAAGATAGCTGATAAGCTATTACTGAAGAAGTCATTTCATTATATTTCAAATAGAACATCGCTATGAAATCCAATAATGCCTAGCTAATGAGTATAAAAGAAACTTATGTATATCCTTCTATCATTATTTGCAAACCTAGCAAGTCTCTTTTGTGCCATCATATACTATAAAATGAAATAATGTAAAATAATATAAAAACAATAGGGAAGAAAGCTGTGCAGGGCTATATATGTTTATATTGGTGTGCTATCCTAATGATTTTATTTAAATACCTTACATTTAATTATTATAATAGTTATATGTTGAAAACATCTTGGAACCCATTTCTTGAGGCTTGCATACAAATCATATGCACAATACACATGGAACCACCAAGAAGTAACTACATATACTGACATGAATCTTATGTAATTAGGATCCGTCCGCACCTTTTGATAAGCACTTTGGGTCTGCGCTT